TGGGGCAAAATTCACTTAGCAACGGTCTTGATTAGCAGCAGAAATTTTGGGGTCAATTGTGGTCGTAGACTGAGGATTACCTCTAGATGGGGAAACAAACCAAGTGTGTTGCAATTGAGAGATGGACGTTTTGTCCCTGCATAGATTTTCTATGCACCATGCGAGATTTTTTTTGTCAATCACCACCGGGGCACCACAGCTGGATTGTGCCATTACTTTTCACTGTCAATTCTCAGGAATCTATGATTTGTAAACTGTGTTTTGTATGAATTGGTTCTTGGCCTGTGGGGTCCCTGGTGTTCTCTGAGCTTGGCGGTTTTCTTGCAGACGTTTCATGACCCAACTAGGTAACGTCATCAGTGCTAGAAGGGAGGACAGTTTGTGGAGAAGAAGAAAGGAGGAGGAGGAGGAGGAGGAGGAGGAGGAGGGGGATGACTGTGGGGTCCTCTCTGAGCTTGGTTGTTTTCTTGCAGACATTTCTTTACCCAACGAGGGAACACCATCATTGCTAGCTAGTCTGCAAAAAACAAAAAAATATCAACCAAGCTCCGAGAACACCAAGGACTCCACAATTCAACCTTGAGGTACAAATATTCTCTTCTGTTGGTATTTCTTCTTCTGTCCAATCAACATGATCCTACTGAAGAGAGACAAAAGAAAGCCCCTGTCCATTTGTGTTTTGTTTCACAGCTGCCCCCAAATTGTGAGTTTATTGCTCCCCCACATAAGAACAATTTAACAGTGACGGAGAGGTAGCTAAAATGATCGTTGTTATTCTGAGGAGCTAATAATGTGTACTCGGTACTATCGGTAGAAAAGTAGAAGGAAAGAGTTAATGGCAGCAAATTGGGATTACTTTGGGGAACAGTCTGCCCATCACATGGAATTTTTTCCTCTGGATCTGTTAAACTAATCCTTGGTTTATGGCCCCTTTTAATTTTTTATACCACACTGAATATGGTTTAAACCAGTGTTTTTCAAATTGAGTAATTCTGATACGGTGGATTTTGAAGTGGATAGGTAGATAGATAGATAGATAGATAGATAGATAGATAGATAGATAGCGAGCGAGAGTTTGGCTCAAAGTCACAATTGACTTTCATGCCTAAAGTGGGATTGGGATTAGAACTCACCACCTCCTGGTGATTGGCCCAAAGTCACCCAATCAGCTTTCATGTCTAAGGCAGGCCTAGAATTCACTGTCTCCTGGTTTCTAGCCTTAACTGCTAGACCAGGGGTAGGCAATCTTGGCTCTTTTATGACTTGTGGACTTCAACTCCCAGAATTCCTGAGCCAGCATGGCTCAGCTTGGAAACTGTCTCTTTCCCCTCAGCATGGCTGGCTCAGGAATTCTGGGAGTTGAAGTCCACGAGTCATGAAGGGGCCCTAGTTCCCCCATGCTGGCTCAGGAATTCTGGGAGTTGAAGTCCACAAGTCATGAAGAGGCCAAAGTTTTCCCCATGCTGGCTCAGGAATTCTGGGAGTTGAAGTCCCCGAATCATGAAGGGGCCATAGTTCCCCCATGCTGGCTCAGGAATTCTGGGAGTTGAAGTCCCCGAATCATGAAGGGGGCCATAATTCCCCCATGCTGGCTCAGGAATTCTGGGAGTTGAAGTCCACGAGTCATGAAGGGGGCCATAATTCCCCCATGCTGGCTCAGGAATTCTGGGAGTTGAAGTCCACGAGTCATGAAGGGGCCAAAGTTTTCTCCATGCTGGCTCAGGAATTCTGGGAGTTGAAGTCCACGAGTCATGAAGGAGCCAAAGTTTCCCTCATGCTGGCTCAGGAATTCTGGGAGTTGAAGTCCACGAGTCATAAAAGAGCCAAGGTTGCCTACCCCTGTGGTAGACCAAACTTACAATCTTTCTTGTTTAATACTGGCTATCTTTTTTGCCCTATTTTATCACAAACATCAATTGTGGGTAAGAAGTCCAACCATGGAACAAGTCATTTGTTGAGCAACCAAGGAAGTAGAGAGAGATAAAAGACATACAGAGGAGTATAACACAAGCCATGCAAGAAAAAAAAATCACACCAACACAAGGAAAGGTCTGTTACAAACCATGGAATTCCACACCAATGTCCTTTCGTCTGTGCCAGTACTGATACCTTCGTTTGCTTCTTGGAAGTTTGGAGATTTTTCTAGTTCTCTAAAAGATCCTTTTAGAGGTTTGATTACTAGATTCTCTATACCATTTCAGACAAATGGCTGTCCAATCTCCAGTGTTGGAGCATTCACAGCTTCTGGAAGCAAGTGGTTCCACTGGTTAATTGTTCTCACTGTCAGGAAGTTTCTCCTTAGTTCTAGGCTGCTTTTCTCCTTGATGAGTTTCCACCTGTTGCTTCTTGTCCTGCCTTCAGGTGCCTTGGAGAATAGCTTGACTCCCTCTTCTTTATGGCCACCTCTGAGATATTGGAAGGCTGCTATCATGTCCCCACTCGTCCTTCTCTTCATTAAACTAGACATACCCAATTCCAGCAACCGTTCCTTCTATGTTTTAGCCTCCAGTCCCCTGATCATCTTTGTTGCTCTTCTCTGCACCCTTTCTAGAGTCTCAACATATTTTTTACATCGTGGTGACCAAAACTGGATGCAGTTTTGGCTTAATGTTCTGAAACTGGAAAGGATTACAGATGGTCCTCAACTTATGACCATAATTTGAGCCCCACATGTTTCTTGTGAAGCAAGGTAGCTGTTAAGTGAGTTTTACCCCATTTTACAACCTTGCTTGCCACAGTTGTTCAATGAATCACTGCAGTTGTTTAAGTTAGTAACATGGCTGTTAAATGAATATGCTCCCCTCCATTGAGTTTGCTTGTCTGACGGTCGCAAAAGGGGATCACGTGACTCCGGGACATCGCAACCGTCGTAAATATGAGTCAGTTGCCAAGCGTTCGAATTTTGATCATGTGACCATGGGGATGCTGCAACAGTTGTTCAGTGTGAAAAATGGTCTTAAGTCACTTTTTTCAGTGCTGTTGTAACTTTCAACAGTCACTAAGCGAATTGTGGTAAGTCAATTACTGCCTGTAGTGAATAGTGGCTTTTGCTTATTAGAAGGTTGCAAAATATGACTCGGGGACATTGCAACCGTCATAAATATGAATCAGTTGCCAAGCGCCCAAATTTTGATCATGTGATCATGGGGATGCTGCAATGGTCATGAAGTATGAAAAATGGTCATAGTTATCCCAAAAATGCTTTTTCAAGAGGTAAATAAACTCCCTTGTTTTCCTTTGAAGATGTTTCTCTTCTCATCCCAAGAAGCTTCTTCAGCTCTGACTGGATGGTGGGGAATGGAAGGATTTATACTCCTTGCACACAAGCTGGTCATTTGCATCCTTTTAGAGCAGGCATGTCAAACTCATGACATCACGTGACGTCGCACAACATATCGGGCCAGTTTTGCCATTGCTGGCAATGGGGTGGGCGCAGCTTCCACGTGACGCGTCCAGCCTGCGGACCGGCAGTTTGAAACCCCTGTTTTAGAGAGTCGGTCAACACTGCTCACATCGGATGTTTTTGCATTGACAACAGATGGAAATGTAGCCATCTTTTACCTTTGGCTTTTAGAGTTAGATGATGCTGGGATGAGGAGGGGATGTGAATGAGAGTCCAGCTAGACATAACAACACTAAACCTAGTGTGAGAATCAAGGTTATTGAGCCCAGAACTGATAAAGAATTGTCGGGCTGGAGAACTGGAGAGGAAGCCCGTGCTTCAAGTTAATTGGGGAATGTGATTTATGAGAAGGGAATTGTGCTTTGATACTATGTGCTCAGGGGAGGGGAATTCAGTTTTTGGCTTTGATTATGCAGTGTCGATATTATGCTCCTCAAATAAAAGATTCTTTACGGTAAACAATGCCTCAAAGTTCCCTTTGAAGAGTTTCATCTGTCGGAACCAGGACAGAGTCCTTGAGGCTACCTGGAGGCTTATCTGCGTCCTCAGGGTCACCTGAGTGGTGCAAATGGGTGTGGAGCCTTCTTGGGACTGCGGAAAGGACTGTGTTGTAGACTGGAGATAGATGATGTCGTGTCCCTCCCCCTCTGTTGAGAGAGGGCTCTTCAATTTGGATACAGATGGCCTCTTTGAACGTCTTCAAAGAAAAACAAGTCCAGTTGCCTCTTGAAAAAGCACTTTTGGGACAACCCACGGAGAATCTCCAGAGAGATCTGTTCATAAGTTGTTACAGGTGGTGCTCGACTTTCCAACCACGACCAGAATTTCCAGTGTGAAAACCGGTCGTAAGTCCCTTTTTAAAAAAATTTTGTTGTAGCTTCGAACGGTCTCTAAATGAACAGTTGTATCTCGAGGACAAACCTATCCTGCCTTACTCTATGGTGTCGGTTTACCGAAGATCCCCTACAGCAGTGGTTCTCAATCTTTTTAATGCCGCGACCCCCAACCGGTCGTAAGTCGAGGACTACTCAACTGGTGCAGCACCGTTTGCAGAATGGGACTTTTGGCGGGCTCAGCAGGGCAGAGACAGCCTGGACAATTCCTATTGGCTTTTGAAAGCCAATAGAATGAGACTCTATTCAAGAGAGTCTATTCTATTGGCTTTCAAAAGCCAATAGAATAAAAGGGAGTAGCACAGCTAAGGAAAAGGGGAAAAGAAAATGGCGGACTGAGTTGTTTGGCGACCCCCGTGAAATGGTCGTTCGACCCCAAATGGGGTCCCGACCCACAGGTTGAGAACCACTGCCCTACAGCTTTGACTTGTGTTTCTCTACCGCTTGTCTGGCCAAAAGGAAGGACATTGGAGGCCTGCGAAATCGAGGGGAGAATCGCAGCATGGAAAATGGGTGATACACAGACGTGACAAACCCAAGAATGTAAAAATAAAATAAAATAAAATAAAGGATGTGCATGCGTCAGTAATATCCAACCGATTCCATCGAGCATGCTCTGTCAACTCTCCACTCCACCCGGCTCTGTCGGATCCTTTCCCATCAGCTTTGCTTTCTTTCCCCCCCCCCAATTTTTTTCCTCTTACCGATGGTACAGTGCTCTCCGTTCCAGCCGGGGCTGCATTCGCACTTGCCGTCCCGACAGGTCCCGTGTTCGTTGCAGCGTGGGTGACACGCTCGCTGATCACAGGAGGCCCCCATCCAGCCCTCTTCGCAACGGCAACTGCCCCCAACACAGGTGCCGTGGACCCCACAGTCGGCCGCGCAGATCTCTGCGGAGGGGAGAGAAAAAGGACGGGGGACAGGTGGGGGGGGCAGAAAGAAAGGGGTCGGGAGGGGTATGTGTGGGAGAAGAGAAAACCAGAAAGGCATTGTTATAATAATAATAATAATAATAATAATAATAATAATAATAATAATAATAATAATAAGCTGTTGCAAGAAGATTGCACAGACTGACTACAAGCAGCGGCATGACAAAGTAGCAACAATGGTGCATTGGAAGGTCTGCAAAAAATATCATTTGCCTGTAAGTGAAAACTGGTGGGATCATAAAATAGAAAAAGTCATAGAAAATGATAAAATGAAACTGCTCTGGGACTTCAGAATTCAAACAGACAAGCACCTGCAACATAACACCCCAGACTTAAGAATTGTCGATAAGAAAGTCAAAAAAGTCTGGATAGTGGACGTGGCAGTGCCTGGAGATAGCAGAATAGACGAGAAAGAACGGGAGAAGATAACAAAATACAAAGACCTACAAATAGAAATAGAAAGACTGTGGCAAAAGCAAGCAAGCGATGATCCATAATAATAATAATAATAATAATAGCAAGCCACACTTCACTATGTTATCCTGATGGGGGAAATGAAAGGGATCCTTGCCGCTCGGAAGACTAATCCCCTTTTGACGTTAAGAATCTAATAAGCAGATTACAAAGAAGAGGGGAAAAGGAGATGGACATGGTTTGGTGGGATCCACTGGTGCATGAACCTCCTTTTGAAACTTTCTAATACGATCACACACACACACACACACATGCACGCACACGCACGCATAGCCGTGGCTTTTTCGGCGGGCTGAATCCAAAGGAGTAAAGGAACAAAAGTCACTTTTTAATTAAAAACTAGTTGAGTGTAAAGACAGTCAGCCGCTAAATCGCTTGAAAATAAAGTTAGGTGTAGCTGGCAAAGTCTATTTGCAGTGGGTTATCGCTCTGGTTACCGATCTGGGGCTTTTGGGAACGTTACTTTTTTTTTTCCTCCCCCTTTTCAGGTCAGCATTGTGAGTTTCACAAAAGATGCTTTATTGCGCTCTGAAATGTTTGGGAGAGCTTTCAAATGTTGTGCGCTCTCTAGGATACACACAGGGCAGGCCTCCTACAGCACTATGTGCCCTCTAAGAAAGCTGAAGTCAAAATGCACCAGCCAGCCAGTGAGCTCTTGAAATGGTGACTTAGGAAATCCACAACAGTTTTTGTCTGTCCATCTGCCTGCCTACCAACTCAAGGACCATGGATTCCTTCATTCTTTCTTTCCTTCCTTTTCATTCATCCACCCATGCACTCATCCATATCTATCTATCTATCTATCTATCTATCTATCTATCTATCTATCTATCTATCTATCTATCTACTTACCTCTATCTATCTATCTATCTATCTATCTATCTATCTATCTGTCTGTCTGTCTGTCTGTCTGTCTATCTATCTATCTATCTACCTACCTACCTACCTACCTACCTACCTATATCTATCTACCTACCTACCTACCTGTATCTATCTATCTATCTATCTATCTATCTATCTATCTATCTATCTATCTATCTATCTATCTATCTATCTACTTACCTCTATCAATCTATCTATCTATCTATCTATCTATCTATCTATCTATCTATCTATCTATCTATCTATCTACCTACCTACCTACCTACCTATATCTATCTACCTACCTACCTACCTGTATCTATCTATCTATCTATCTATCTATCTATCTATCTATCTATCTATCTATCTATCTATCTATCTACCGTATATGCCGGCGTATAAGGCAACTTCCGCGAGTGCTAAAATCGGCGCCAAAGACGGGGATTGTCTTAAACGCTGATTCGTCTTATACGCCGGAAATACTGGTAGTTTCCGGCGTATAAGACAACGTTTTAGGAATGTGGCTTGGCGATAAAGACGGGAGTCATCTTATACGCCGGATCGCCTTGTATGCCGGCACATCTATCTATCTATCTATCTATCTATCTATCTATCTATCTATCTATCTATCTATCTATCTATCTATCTATCTATCTATCTATCTATCTACCTACCTATCTATCCTATCTGTCCTACCTATATCTATCTATCTATCTATCTATCTATCTATCTATCTATCTATCTATCTATCTACCTACCTACCTACCTACCTATATCTATCTACCTACCTACCTACCTCTATCTATCTATCTATCTATCTATCTACTTACCTCTATCAATCTATCTATCTATCTATCTATCTATCTATCTATCTATCTATCTATCTATCTATCTATCTATCTATCTATCTACCTACCTACCTACCTATATCTATCTACCTACCTACCTACCTGTATCTATCTATCTATCTATCTATCTATCTATCTATCTATCTATCTATCTATCTATCTATCTATCTACCGTATATGCCGGCGTATAAGGCAACTTCCGCGAGTGCTAAAATCGGCGCCAAAGACGGGGATTGTCTTAAACGCTGATTCGTCTTATACGCCGGAAATACTGGTAGTTTCCGGCGTATAAAACAACGTTTTAGGAATGTGGCTTGGCGATAAAGACGGGAGTCATCTTATACGCCGGATCGCCTTGTATGCCGGCACATCTATCTATCTATCTATCTATCTATCTATCTATCTATCTATCTATCTATCTATCTATCTATCTATCTATCTATCTATATCTACCTACCTACCTACCTACCTACCTATCTATCATCTATCTATCTACATCATCTCTCTCTCTGAATAGCTATTAAAACTTTCTTTAACATAGCTCTTTCCCCATCATCCATCTCTATCTATCTATCTATCTATCTATCTATCTATCTATCTATCTATCTATCTATCTATCTATCTATCTATCAATCATTTATATCACCTATCTACTGGTATCTGTTCCTTCTAGCTGACGTTAATTGTTGGGGTTTATTGTTGATCTTATAACTCTTCTACATGTCAAGCCACTCAAAATCATTTCGAGTTTGGGGGGGGGAGAAGGGGATTAGAAATCTGAAAGACAAATAAATAAACAGATGTATAAATAAAACAGGGAAACCTTCTAGAATGCTTCAGCATAATAGAATGAATATTCTGTTGTCACAGCTGCCCACCCTTGCTGTAGCATCTTCTTCCCAGTGTCTGAATTCAAAGTAGAATTTCACTTTTTGGCAGAAATTTCTCTTCTTCCCTCCCCCCTTAAAATTAAGCTGTAAAGTATCTCTGTGTGGACATCACCTTCTCCCTGACCTTCTCCCTGACCATGTCACTGGCGGCAGTCCTAATACACTGATGCCGTCCAGGCTGGCTGTCGCCTCTCTTTTAAGTCATGAAACTGTAAGATCCACGGAGACAGTGGATCTTCCCAATTTTGGGGAGGGTGGGGGAGGGAGCTGAAGGGCCTGGAGGGTGTGTTGGAGAAAGGAATCAGTGATCACATGATCCCAGGACATTGCAAAGGTCATAAAGAGAAGCTAGCTGCCAAGCCTCCAAATCTGGATCACGAGACCATGGGGGATGCTGCAACGGTCCTTAACGATGAAAAACATTCGTAAGTCTTTTTTTCCCCAGTGCTGTTGCACTTGGAATGGTCACTAAACGAACCGTTCCAAGCTGAGGACCACTTGTAATACCAGGACTGAAGAAAGAGGCAAAAGGAATGAGCAATTGGTTTCCGTATTCTTGGGTAGTCAGCCTCTTGATGGACATGTGCCAATCAGCGGATGCAATGTTGAATATATGGGACCCCCGGATGTTACATCAGCAACGTCTGCCTGGCTGCAATTCACGAGGATTTTTGAGAATCTCGCGAGACTTCAGCGCTCAGAACGGCTGATTTGTAGTCAAGCACCATTTGCATCGTCACTTCGAGCGTGTTTTGAAAAAAGGACAAATCTGTGTTGAGGCAAATTGCTTCGACAAAAGAAAATTGGCTGAGAACAATTGTTCTTCATTTAAGAAAAGCTTGAAGGGGATCTATCAACTCCCAGTTTGAAAAAAAAAAAACACACAAAAAGGCCACGGAGAGGTGATGGGTTTAAGTCATCACATGACTCCTTTTAAATGCCTTTTATTTCCCTCCAGGATAGATTTTTAACTCCAGTAAATGAGAATGAGTCATTTTTTTCCTCTTTTACCTGGTCTAACGAAACAAAACAAAAAAAACAAAATCAGAATATTTAGTGGAGCATTTTCAGGGTGTGCTGAAAATGGAACAGTTTGTTCCAGAAACTCTGTAATAATACTAATACTAATAATAAAGTTGGAAGGGTCCTTGGAGGTCATCTAGTCCAACCCCCTGCTCAGGCAAAAAAACCTTATAGCATTTCAGACAAATGGCTGTCCAGTCTCTTCTTAAAAACTTCCAGTGTTGGAGCATTCACAGCTTCTGGAGGCAGGTGGTTCCACTGGTTAATCGTTCTAACTGTCAGGAAATTTCTCCTTAGTTCCAGGTTGCTTCTCTCCTTGATGAGTTTCCATCCATTGTTTCTTATCCTGCCTTCAGGTGCTTTGAAGAATAGCTTGACTCCCTCTTCTTTGGGGTAGCCCCTGAGATACTGGAAGACTGCTATCATGTCCCCCCTTCTCTTCATTAAACTAGACATTCCCAATTCCAGCAACCGTTCCTTATATATTTTAGCCTCCAGTCCCCTAATCATCTTTGTTGCTCTTCTCTGCACTCTTTTCAGAGTTTCAACATCTTTTTTACATTGTGGTGACCAAAACTGGATGCCGTATTCCAAGTGTGGCCTTACCAAGGCCTTGTAAAGTGGTATTAACACTTCACCTGATCTTGATTCTATCCTCTGTTAAGTCTTGCAACAAGTCTTGTTAGTGGTTGAAGATAAAATATTAACAGAATAACAGAGTTGGAAGGGACCTTGGAGGTCATCTAGTCCAACCCCCTGCTCAGGCAGGAAACCCTATACCATTTCGGATAAATGGCTGTCCAGTCTCTTCTTAAAAACTTCCAGTGTTGGAGCATTCACCGCTTCTGGAGGCAGGTTGTTCCACTGATTAATTGTTCTAACTGTCAGGAAGTTTCTCCTTAGTTCCAGGTTGCTTCTCTCCTTGATTAGTTTTCATCCGTTGCTTCTTGTCCTGCCTTTGGGAGCTTTGGAGAATAGCTTGACTCCCTCTTCTTTGGGGCAGCCCCTGAGATATTGGAACACTGCTATCCTGTCTCCCCTCCTCCTTCTCTTCATTAAACTAGACATGCCCAATTCCAGCAGCCGTTCCTTATATGCTTTAGCCTCCAGTCCCCTAACCATCTTTATTGCTCTTCTCTGTACTCTTTCTAGAGTCTCAACATCTTTTTTACATCGCGGTGACCAAAACTGGATGCAGTATCGTGTGATCTTGATTCTATGCCTCTGTTTATGCAACCCAGGATTGTATTAACTTTTTTGGCTGCTGCTGCACGTTGCTGGCTCATGGTCAAGTGATCATCCACTAGGACTCCAAGGTCCCTCTCACAGTTACTGTTTTTAAGCCAGGTCTCGCCCAATCTGTACTTGTACCTTTGGTTTTTCCTGCCTAAATGTAAAACTTTGCTTTCCTCCACATTGAAACTCATTTTGTTGGCTAGGGCCCATTGTTCAAGTTTGTCAAGATCTTTTTGGGTCTTGAGCTTGTCTTCTGGGGTGTTGGCTATTCCTGCCAGCTTAGTGTCATCTGCAAATTTGATGAGTTCCCCTTCAATTCCCTCATCTAAGGCATTGATGAAGATATTGAAGAGCACTGGGCCTAAGACAAAGCCTTAGAGAACTTTCAGATCCTCTATCTTTATGTTCATGAATGCTGCTTTTGTTTGTCCTCGTGGTGGACTTTAAATGGGACAAAACACCTCAATTTGCTCTTACAACTTTATTTTAAAGCTTTGTGAGAGGTTGAAGAGGGACGATTATATATTTTTCACACAGCACAAAAGCAATGTTTGAATACTGGCATCCTAAGCTGCGTGCCTATAATTCGGAGGGGATGTTATTTTGAATGTAGACAGTTCCTCTGGATGCCTGTTGCTTCCTCGTAAATTAATGCTATTTCCTCACTCCTGTGTATGACAAACCACCCCGAGGTCACAAATCAAAACGCAGCCTTTTTCCTGCTCTGCATTTGTTAACACTCACACCCCAGCTCACTCTTTTTTTTTTTGCAAGCAAGCAGCACAAAATTACACCCAGCCCATCGCTTTTCCGACTTCATCCTTCATGGAGCTACTTCTGATGTTAACATTATTATTGTTTTGTGCCTCCCGGCCAAAAGCCTCCGCTAAGGTGCTTGGTAAATGCTCGCTCATTTTTCCAAGTCAACTTCCAACTCCAAAAGATGGATTTGTGCGTTATTCAACTAAAAAGGTAAATTCTCCTTCGGGTCAAACTTGAGCGAGCAATGCTTGAATAATGTGTTTTGTTTTGTTTTTGCAGCCATAGAGAAACGGGTTGGTCAGTTCCTTCTTTGGGATTTTTTTTTTTTAAAAAAACCTTCCTTTTAGCCTCCATAAAAATATAGAAAACTGAAAGGCAAAAAAAAAAAAAAATGAACTATTGTTCCATCTTCCTTTTGAGTTTTTTAAATTAAATTTATTCTTAATTGCTTTAATTTTTATTGGACGGTGGACATGTGGTTTATCCCAAGCATGTTTTAAACTCAGTTATGGGTAGACCTCGGCTTAGGACCACGATGGAGCCCAAAAACTTATGTTGTTAAGTGAGACGTTTCTTAAATGAGTTTAGCCCCGTTTTACGACTTTTCTTTCCACATCTGTTAATTGAACCAAGGCAGTTATTAAATTAGTAACATAACTGTTAAGTGAATCCAGCTTTTCCTCTGTGGACTTTGCTGGTCAGAAGGTCTCAAAAGGGGATGACGTGACCCCGGAACACACTGCGACCGTCACAAATATGAGTCAGTTGCCAAGCGCCCGAGTTTTGATCATGTGACCCCGGGGAGGCTGCAACGGTCGTTAAGTGTGCAAAAATGGTCATAAATTATTTATTTCAGCATTGTGGCAATCCATTTGTGACCTTCACGGGTCTATCAAGCAAAGGAAAACTAAGTCAGATCATAAGCACAGTCGCAGTTTCACTTTGTGACCACCTAAGGTCTAAATGGCCGGTCCAAACTGTAGTCGCTAAATGAGGACTACCTTTATTTAGCAACAGCAACAGCACTTAGACTTATATCCCGCTTTACAGTGCTTTACAACCCTCTGTAAGTCAGCATGTTGCCCCCGACAATCTGGGTCTTGAGTACTTTCTTATGCTAAAACTTCCAGTGTTGGAGCATTTACTGCCTCCAGAAGCAGTAAATACTCCAACACTGGAAGTTTTTAAGAAGAGATTGGACAGCCATTTGTCCGAAATGGTGTAGGGTTTCCTGCCTGAGCAGGGGGTTGGACTAGATGACCTCCAAGGTCCCTTCCAACTTTACTACTATTACTATTACTAATCAGACTGTATTTGAACTTACTTTCAGCCAGAGTCAGCTGAAGGAGCGTGTGTGTGTGTGTGTGTGTGTGTGTGTGCGCGCGTGTTCTTTTGTTGGAGGCTTGCCAGCAAACGTGGGAGCATTTGGGGAAAATTTGGAGCAACAAAAGAACTGTTTGAATTGCCAGCTGATTGCATTGCCTCTGTGCTGTGCCCTGGGTCATCACAAAACATCTCTCCAAGGAACCGATCCCTGGTGCCCAAACGGTTGGGAACCTCTGATCTAGAAGATTGTCCTCCTACAACCAAACCGACATGTAAAGGTTCAGGCAAAGTAAATTCACAGGTGCAATTACCAGTGGAGCAGTCGTGCCCAGTCCAGTTGGGATCACAGGTGCAAAGTCCGGTTTCGGACAGAAAAGTTCCGTGGCCCGAACACTGATCCAGACAAGTGGCCCTCGGGGTCTCACAGTTGGCCCCTCCCCAGCCCACGGAGCAGTGGCATTCTCCTCTCACGCACACGCCACGTCCTGAGCAGGTGGGATCCATGCAGTCCACTGCAAAACAAGGAAGAAAAAAAAATGCAATTTGGCATTATTAACCCCTGGATTTCGTTTACTGCAAGAGGCTGAGGAAACGGACTTGGGGGAAACAGAAGGAAGAGAGAGACGCTAAGACAGCAATCAGATACAAGGAACCTGAGTCTTGAGCTGGAATGTAACATGAGTAAGTTCCTCCCTAGTTCATTGCACGTAATCCTCAACTTACAACCATAACTGAGCCCAAAATTTCCATCGCTGCAAGTTGTTAAGTTAGTAACATGGTTCTTAAGTGAATCTGGCTTCCCCATTGACTTTGCTTGACAGAAGATGGCAAAAGGGGATTGCGTGACTTAGGGACACTGCAACTGTCATAAATATGAAGTATTCTATTCTATTCTATTCTATTCTATTCTATTCTATTCTATTCTATTCTATTCTATTCTATTCTATTCTATTCTTTCCTGTTATTCTATTCTTTCCTGTTACTCTATTCTATTCTATTCTATTCTATTTATTCTATTCTATTCTATTCTATTCTATTCTATTCTATTCTATTCTATTCTACATTCTATTCTATTCTATTTTCCATTCCATTCTATTCTATTCTATTCTATTCTATTCTATTCTATTCTATTCTATTCCATTCCATATTTTCTATTCTATTCTATTCTATTCTATTCTATTCTATTCTATTCTATTCTATTCTATTTTCCATTCCATTCTATTCTATTCCATTCCATATTTTCTATTCTGTTCTATTCTATTCTATTCTACTCTATTTTCCATTCTATTCTATTCTATTCTATTCCATATTTTCTATTCTATTCTATTCTATTCTCCATTCCATTCTATTCTATTCCATTCCATATTTTCTATTCTATTCTATTCTATTCTATTCTATTCTATTCTATTCTATTCTATTCTATTCTATTCTATTCTATTCTATTTTCCATTCCATTCCATTCTATTCTGGAAGTTTTGAAGAAGGGACTGGACAGCCATTTGTCCGAAATGGTACAGGGTTTCCTGCCTGAGCAGGGGGTTGGACTAGTTGACCTCCAAGGTCCCTTCCAACTTTATTATTATTATTTTTATTATTATTATTATTAATAATATCATCATCATCATCATCATCATTATTATATACTGTATTCTATTCTACTGTACACTCTTCTCTTCTCTTCTCTTCTCTTGCCAAGCATCTGAATTTTAATCGTAAGACCATGGGGATGCTGCAAAGGTCGTAAGTATGAAAAACGGTCATAAGTCAGTGCCGTTGTAACTGTGAATGGTCACTCAACAAAGGGTTGTAAGTCAAGGACTGCCTGTAACAGAGGGAGGGGAAGCACATTCAGTCTTGCAAGCTTCTGCTCCTTTAGCTGTATATAATGAACGAGTCCTGGGATTTCCTTGTGGTCTCCCATCCCAGTCTGACCATCATGCAACTGCAATAGTTTAATATTGTAAGCCATCCAGAGTTACCCCTGTGGTAAGGTGGATGGGGAGGGGGGGAGGGACAATAAATTTGATAAAGAAATAAAGAAAAGCACTTTCACACACACCCCTGTTCCTATCTGGACAGGAAAACAGGTGAGGTTAGGGAGGTGGTTCAGCTTTTGGAGAGTAGCCAAAGCTGGGCAGGTGCTCCCACTTGCTGCAACCCTCCTGAGAGTCGAAGTCCACGCCTCTTAACGTCGCCAAGGTTGAGGAACACGGTGCAAGACATCCCATCTAGGGGCAGAGCACCCCTTTTCAAAGCAGGCTTCCTTTTTATCAGCCCAAATCACGCGAGGAGCCGTTTACCTTTCTGCAGACAGGCCAGTCCAACCCTCTGGAGATGCACGTCTGTCTGCCTGTCTGCAGACACATTATTAATGTGCCAACGCTTCGCCTCTCGTAGGACCATCAGCAAAGCAAGAAGGCTGGCTTTATAAATCTCTGGCACTTTGCACGCATGAAGGGGGAAGGCTTCCATTTGGAGGCCTGGCAGCGTCCACCTCCCTTCCTCCCCCCCCCCAAAATCAAGGAGTGTCTGTCCCTGAAGTGCTTAGCAGATGGTTGAGTCGTGGAGAACAAAGATTGCAGGATAAATGACAAGGGGCTACCGTGGGGCCATTAATCAACCCCACCGAAGAAGGCCCACTCAGGGGAAAAGGTAGCGGTAAGGGGGTCTCCATCACAGAAGGCAGAGCGCTGCTGCTAGCTCAGCGTTAACGCGGGGGGGGGGGGGGGAGAGGAGAGGAAGGCGTGCGGGGCGAGGACACGCCATTCATCATAAAGCCAGGGCTATTTTTCATGTCCAAACGAGCCCTTTCACACGACGGCCTGCACAATGGCGGCTTTAATCTTGCCCTCACTGGCCCGGATTGCTCAGAGGCTCTGCACCGTGACAAGGGTTCTTTCTTTCTTTTTCTTTCTTTCTTTCTTTCTTTCTTTCTTTCTTTCTTTCTTTCTTTCTTTCTTTCTTTCTCTTCCTTCTTCTCCCTTTCTTTCCTTCCTTCTTGTTCCATTTTCCTTCCTTCCTTCTTTCCTTCCTTCCCCTGCCTTTTGTTCTTACCTTTTCCTTTCTTCCTTCCCATTCCTTTTTCCTTCCTTCCTTCCTTCCTCTTTCCTTCCTTCCTTTCTTCCTTTCTTTTCTTCCTTACCCTGCCTTTTCTTACCTTTTTGTTTCCTAACTTCTTTCCTCTTTCTTTCTTTCCTTCCTTTCTTTTTTCTTCCTTCCCTTCCCTTCCTTACCTTGCCTTCCTTCTTTCTTTCCTTTTCCTTCCTTCCCATTCCTTTTTCCTAACTTCTTTCCTCTTTTTCTTTTTTCTTCCTTCTCTTTTCTTTCTTTCCTTCCTTTCCTACCTTCCCTTCTTTATTGCCTTTCTTTCTTTCTTTCTTTCTTTCTTTCTTTCTTTCTTTCTTTCTCTCTTTTTTCTCTTTCTTCTTTTCCTTTCTTTCTCTTTCTCTTTCTCTCTCTTTTTTCTTTCTTTCTTTCTTTCTTTCTTTCTTTCTTTCTTTCTTTTTCTTTCGTTCTCTCTTCTTTCTTTCTTTCTTTTTTCCTTTCTTTCTCTCTCTTCTCTCTCACTCTTCTTTCTTTCTTTCTTTCTTCCTTTCTTTCTTTCTTTCTCTTTCTCTCTCTTCTCTTTTTTTCTTTCTTTTTTCTTCTTTCTTTCTTTCTTTCTTTCTTTCCCTTTTCTTCTCTTTTTTGCAAATACTTTCATCCATCTCTCTCTTTCTCCCACTCTCTCTGTTCTCTCCCCTCCCCACTCCAATTTTTTTCAAAGAGAATTGTGTACTTTAAAATCCTGCTACTCAGCAAGGTTAGTGGCTCAGCCCTGAAAGAGCCATTTTGGGACTTCTTTCCATGAATGAGTGATGGGTGCTGAAGCTACGACTGTTGGCACAGTCCACTGGAGATATATGAGTGCCAAGCCTACTAAAGTGAATGGGAACTCCTAAAACCCCTTGTGGCTTTTATTCCTTGTGGGAATGGCACTGAAGAATCACCCATGACTAGGGCTCTAAATTGGCGGCATCACAGAGACCCCCAAGGATGGGTAAAAGCCAATGGAAAGGATTCAAGGAACAAAACACTTTTTTATTTCAGGTGAAAAAAAAAGACAAATCAGGAGAAACATGACTAAAGTTCCTAAAATTCAGGTGAGAGTGGGCACATCAAGCATTTATTCTTTAATCGCAAAATTCAGACTATTCAGACAGCTTATGCCAAGACAGACAATAATTTAGGTAGGCCCAGAAGAACAGAATGGACCTGGACCTATATAAATTTGTCTTTACGCAAAGACGGTGCAAAATAATGGCTGATCAAAGAGAGAAGCAACCTGGAATTAAGGAGAAACTTCCTGACAGTGAAGACCATCAACCAGTGGAATAGCTTGCCTCCAGAAATCGTGGGCACTCCATCACTGGAGATTTTTAAGAAGAGACTAGACAGTCACTTGTCTGAGGTAGTATGAGTTCTCCTGCTTGAGCAGGGGGTTGGACTAGAAGACCTCCAAGATCCCTTCCAGCTCTATTCTATTCTATTCTATTCTATTCTATTCTACTATTCCAGTGGTGGTGAACCTATGGCACGGGTGCCCGAGGCGGCACTCAGAGCCCTCTCTGTGGGCACGTGCGCCGTCGCCCCAGTCCTAGGCCTTCAGCTGGGTTTTATAAAACCTTTTCACTTTAGGCCTCCGCCGCCATGTGCAAAAAAAAAAAAAAAAAAGGTTCAATCAGTCAATTTCAACTTCTCGCAGCAAAAAAAAAAGATCTTGCAAAGTTAGAATTGATTGATTGAACTTTTTAGTCCCACCCAGTCTGCTGTTACCACCACAGCCACGCCCACCCAATGGGCCACACCCACCCAATGGGCCACACCCACCCAGCACTCGACGATGCATTTGGGCACTCGGTCTCTAAAAGGTTCGTCATCACTATATTATTCTATCTTCTCTTCTCTTCTCTTCTCTTCTCTTCTCTTCTCTTCTCTTCTCTTCTCTTCTCTTCTCTTCGTCCAAAACAATGATTTAACCCAGGGGTATCCAACCTTGGCAACTTTTAAGACTTTTATGAATGAAGGCGGATAATGTTCCAAGATCCAGTCTGGGTCAGTCACTGGGATCAGAGGTTTAATCTTCTGAACTTTTGGACTTGTGCTGGCACCCATCCTCAGGGAAGATATTTCTACTGGAATATGTGCTTTGGGCTATTTTGTGCGTGGTATTTATATGGTGCCTGGTTGCGTTTGGGTTTTGAGTTGTGGTTTGGGGTGTTGATGGCTGGCTATTAAGATGGAGTTTGAGTACAACAAAGACACTTCCACCGCTTTAAAAATTTCAAGGAGACTTCTCGCTCGTTCAGTTTTTTTTTTTTTACAAATATGAGCCAATGTCATTAATATTTTTTAAAAATATTGCTTAATATTGCAGGAAATAAATAGAGGGCGCCCATATAACCCAACTGGAAACATACTGAATTGATTTTTTTTTAAAAGGCATCTTTATGGTCTGTCCCTCCTCCAAAGGAAAAATGTGATGTTTGTAAAATATTTGAAATCAACATTACGGAAGGATTTAGAGAAGAACAGACTTGAATAAATGTCCCGTATAGCAGTCTTTATGCACACTTTTAATATTAATTTCCTCTTAGCGGAACACTGTATAAGACTCAAGCACAGAGGGAAAACTACTTCACTCAACAAGTGGTGTGGAAAAAGCTGCGTGTTATTTCTTGCCTGCTTTTTAAAACATTTGGGCTGCTGGCCAATTAACGTTGAGTTCCTATTTATTTAAAGCTCTCGACTCTGGCTTGCACAGCCTCAAGAGATTTACCAAGTAGTCGAGAAATAGACATGTAAATAAAATTACAGCAAAACCAGGAAAGAATCGTAATTAGGTTCGGCCTCGTAATTGACTTTAAAAAAAGCTAATGACATATGAAGCAGGAGAAAACATGCTTTTTGGCCAATCCTTATGAAATCGGCTGAGAAACACCGCCATAAATAAGAGTCAACCTTGAAATTAGAGAACACAGTTAGCCCTCAACTTATAACAATTCGTTTAGTGACCGTTCAAAGTTACAAAGGCTCTGGGGAAAAAAAAAAAAGACTTAGGACTTCTTTTTCACACAGCCGTTGCAGCGTCCCCGTGGTCACACGATCAAAATTGGGACGCTTGGCAAACGACTCAGATTTATGACAGTGGCAGTGCTCTGGGATTGTGTCCTTCCTTTTTTTGTGACCTTCTGACAAGGAAGGTCAACTTAACAACTGTGTAACCAACTTAACAGTCACAATGATTCCCTTAAGAAGTGTGGCAAGCAAAATTGTGAAATGGGCCCACGCTCGCCTTAACGATCTCCTCGCTTAACGATGGAAATGTTGGGCTCGGTTGTGGTCATAAAGTCGAAGACTTCCTGTCCACGCAAGAAAGATCTGCAAAATGGGCAAAACTCACTAAACAGATGTTTCGTTTAGCAAACAAGGGTTTTGGATTCAGTTGTGGTGGTAAGTTGAGGACGACCTTTACAGATAGTCCTTGACTTACAACATTTCATTTAGGGACAGTTCAAAGTTACAAAGGAACTGAAAAAAAGTGTCTTAGGACCATTTTTCACATTTATGTCCATGGTAGCATCTCCATGGTTACGTGGTCAAATTTTGGAGGCTTGGTAACTGACTCATATTTAGGATGGCTGCTCCTTCCTTCCTTCCTTCCTTCCTTCTCTCCCTCGGTCCCTTCTTTCCTCCCTCCCTCGGTCCCTTCCTTCCTTCCTTCCTTCCTTCCTTCCTTCCTTCCTTCCTTCCTTCCTTCCTTCCTTCCCTCCCTCCCTCAGTCCCTTCTTTCCTCCATTCTTCAGTCCCTTCTTTCTTTCCTCCCTCAGTTCTTCCTTCCTTCCTTCCTTCCTTCCTTCCTTCCTTCCTTCCTTCCTTCCTTCCTTCCTTCCTTCCTTCCTTCCTTCCTTCCTTCCTTCCTCTCTCTTTCCTTCCTTCTTCCCTCCCTTGGTCCCTTCTTCCCTTTCTTTCCCCCATCCTTCCTAGGTCCCTTCTTTCCTTCTTTCCTTCTTTCCTCCCTCCCTCCCTTCCTTCCTTCCTTCCTTCCTTTCCTCCCTCCCTCGGTTCCGTCTTTCTTTGTTTCTTTCTTTCCTTCCTTCCTTCTCTTCTCTCTTCCCCTTTTCTTTTTTCTTTCAATTTTCATCGTTTTATTGCAATCAAAAATTCTGTTAAAAAAAGAAATTGCAGGCTTTGAACTGGAAATTAAGGAAATTCAATGGGGAAGCCTGCGGGAAGTCAGACGTTGCTGTTACTCCCATTGTTTTTGTTTGCTTGTTTGTTTATCTACCTTCATTCATTCTGCTCCTATGTTTGAGTAAGAAGTTTACCTTGGGTCTGTCTCGTTTAATGAAAAGAAGGACCAGGGCTGACATGAGCCTTGTAGATAGTTAAGGTTCTAAAGCAGGGTTTGTCAACCTTAGCAACTTTAAGAATTGCTGGCTGGGGAATTGTGGAAGTCTACACACTTAAACTTGTCAAGGCTGACAAACCCTGCTCTAAAGAAAGGATAGGCAGCTTTGGAGATGGTGACCATGTGAAAGTTTGAATGCAGGTCCAGGAGGGTGGAAATGGGTCCCAGAGGAGACACCTAATCCCTAAATGCCACCCACAGTAAGTATGACTGATTCTAAAATACCATTAATCAGAACAGAAATGGCCCCAAAGATAAATGCAATGACCCAATGAGGCACGAGTTCTCTAGTTTGTAAATCAAAGAACTACCCAATTGGTTTGGAAAAGATCCAGGCAGCCAGAATCAAAATCTAGTTCAGTGGTTCTCAACCTTTTTAATGCCGCGACCCCCAACTGTCGTAAGTTGAGGACTACCCAACTGGTTATAAGTTGAGGACTTTCCCTGCCCGGGAGCACCGCACATGCGTGGTGCCGCCCCCTGTGCCGGCCGAGACGTAGCTGGCAAGCGGCAGAGACGGCACAGGGCGACCACCGGCTGGGCCACCAGCTGGCCCAGCCCAAGGGAAGTAAGGCACCCGCCGGGCCCCACGCACACCCTGCGCCCGCCGGCCTCCCACCCCTGGCCCTCTTTTCCTTACATTTTTAGTAGTTGCTCAGCAGGGAGGGGTGGAAACTTCCAGACAGCTCGCCTTCGCTGCAGACAACTTGCAGCACCGTTTGCAGACTGGGATTTTTGGCGGGCTCAGCAGGGCAGAGATAGCCTGGACAATTCCTATTGGCTTTTGAAAGCCAATAGAATTAGACTCTATTCGAGAGAGTCTATTCTATTGGCTTTCAAAAGCCAATAGAATAAAAGGGAGTAACACAGCTAAGGAAAAGGGGGAAAAAATGGCAGACTGCGCTGTTTGGCGACCCCCGTGAAATGGTCGTTCGACCCCAAATGGGGTCCCGACCCATAGGTTGAGAACCACTGATCTAGTCTATAGGGTAGTGTTTTTCCACATTATCGACTTTTAAGATATGTGGACTTCAACTCCCAGAATTCCCCAGCCAGCATGCTGGCTGGAGAATTCTGGGAGCTGAAGTCCACATATCTTAAAAGTTGCCAAGGTGGAGAAACATTGCTGTAGGGGTGACTGCTGGGTGGGTCCTGTCTCCAAAACTCAAATCAGCAACGACAACACCCAGGGGAAAGAGATAAAAAAGTCCGGCATTTTGGAACTGAACTCATCGTGGGAAAAGGACCGAGGGAATTTTTTTAAAGGCAATTACCTTCTTCACAACTCTCTCCCTTGTAGCCCGGATTGCAGATGCAGGTTCCCATGATGCATGTCCCGTGGCTGTTGCAAGAGACGTCCACGCACTGATTGGTCGGGACGTCGCACTCGGCTCCTTTCCATCCACTGTGACACAAACACCTCCCTTTCATGTACTGTCCGTTCCCGCTACACAACACTGGGCAAGACGCTGAGAAGGAGACAAAAGACCACACAAAAGAGGGCCGTCAGGAACGCAATCAACGTTGGCCAGTCGCTTGATGCAATCGCTGATCCAGTGCAGGTGGTCCTCGGCTTACAACAGTTCATTTAGTGACCGTTCAAAGTTACGCAACAGCCCTGGAAAATGCGAACTTAGGACCGTTTTGCACAACGATCGTTGGGATCACCCAATCAACATTCAGATGCTTGGCCTCTGACTCATATTTATGACGGTCACAGTGATCTCCTTTTTGCGGCCTTCTGATAAGCAAAGTCAGCGAGGAAGCTAGATTCGTTTAACGACCGGGTTGCTAACTCAACAACTGCAGGGATTCTCTTAACAACGGCGGGAATCGAGTTTGTAAAACGGGGCAAAATTTACATGACCAATGTCTCACCGAACGACAGAAACCTTGCCCTCCACTGTGGTCGTAAGTCGAGGACTACCTGTATTTATAAAGATTATTTTTTTTTTAAGAATTGTTCTCCCTTTTTTTCTTTACTTTCTCCCCTCCCCCTTTTAATTTTTTTCCCCTATTTTTCTTTTCTTTCTTGATTAGGCCCATTTAGGTTTGCAACTTAGCAGCAGAAATTGTGGCCTCTGTTACGGTTGTAACTCAAGGACTACCTGTAAAATGGGGCCAAGTTCACTGAACATCCATGTTGCTTAGCAATGGGAAGTCTGGGCTTGATCTCTGCCTAGCGGCCTTTCATGCTTTGTCTATGGAGGTTCTCTGTCCTTCAGGTCATGGTTGACTCAATGGTGCTTTTTTCAGGAGGCCACTGGACTTCCTTGTTTTTCCTTTGAAGATGTTTCGCTTCTCATCCAAGAAGCTTCTTCAACCCTGACTGGATGGTGGGGAATGGAAAGATTTATACTCCTTGCAGACAGCTGGTCATTTGCCTCCTTTTAGAGAGTCGTTGAGACCACCTGGAGGTTTGTCTGTGTCTTCAGAGTCACCTGAGTGGTGCAAATGAGTGTGGAGCCTCTTTGGAACTGCTGAAAGGACTGTGTTGTGGAGTTGTGCTTTCTGCAGGATGTTTCAGCCGCTCCAAGAAGGCTCCACACCCATGCATCCCTCGGGTGATCCTGAGGACAAAGACAAGCCTCCAAGTGGCATCAACGACTCTCTAAAACAGTGGTTCTCAACCTTTTTAATGCCGTGACCCCCCAACCGGTCGTAAGTCGAGGACTACTCAACCGGTTGTAAGTCGAGGACTACTCAACTGGTGCAGCACCGTTTGCAGAATGGGACTTTTGGCGGGCTCAGCAGGGCAGAGACAGCCTGGACAATTCCTATTGGCTTTTGAAAGCCAATAGAATTAGACTCTATTCAAGAGATCTATTGGCTTTCAAAAGCCAATAGAATAAAAGGGAGTAGCACAGCTAAGGAAAAGGGGAAAAAAATGGCGGACTGTGTTGTTTGGTGACCCCCGTGAAATGGTCGTTCGACCCCAAATGGGGTCGCGACCCACAGGTTGAGAACCGCTGCTCTAAAAGAATGCAAATGACTAGCTGTCTGCAAGGAGGATAATCCTTCCATTCCCCACCATCCAGTCAGAGCTTGAAGAAGCTTCTTGGATGTCTATGGAGATTCTCCGTCATCCAGGTCATGGTTGACTCTTGCTTCTTCAAGAGGCAACTGGACTTCCTTGTTCTTCTTTGAAGACGTTTCGCTTCTTATCCAAGAAGCTTCTTCAGCTCTGACTGGATGGTGGGGAATGGAAGGATTTGTACTCCTTGAAGACAGCTGGTCATTTGCCTTCTTTTAGAGGGTCGTTGACGCCACCTGGAGGTTTATCTGTGTCTTCAGGGTCACCTGAGTAGGTGTGCAAAGGGGGTTAAGCCTTCTTGGGACTGCTGAACGGAATGTGTTGAATAGATAAACGCAGATAAGCCTCCAGGTGGCCTCAACCACTCTCTAAAACAGTGGTTCTCAACCTGTGGGTCGTGACCCCATTTGGGGTCGAACGACCATTTCATGGGGGTCGCCAAACAACGCAGTCCGCCATTTTTTTCCCCCTCTTTTCCTTAGCGGTGCTACTCCCTTTTATTCTATTGGCTTTTGAAAGCCAATAGAATAGACTCTCTTAAATAGAGTCTAATTCTATTGGCTTTCAAAAGCCAATAGGAATTGTCCAGGCTGTCTCAGCCCTGCTGAGCCCGCCAAAAGTCCCATTCTGCAAACGGTGCTGCACCAGTTGAGTAGTCCTCCACTTATGACCGGTTGAGTAGTCCTCAATTTACGACCGGTTGGGGGTCGCGGCATTAAAAAGGTTGAGAACCACTGCTCTTAAAGAAAGCAAATGACCAGCTGTCTGCAAGGAGTATAAATCCTCCCATTTTCCCACCATCCAGTCAGAACTGAAGAAGCTTCTTGGGACGAGAAGCAAAATGTCTTCAAAGGAAAAACCAGGAAGTCCAGTTGCCTCTTGAAAAAACACCTTTGAGACGGTCAGGCTTTGTTTTGGAGGGACCCCAGGAAAAGATATAGTGAAGGGCAGAGGTTGCCTATAATCCTGCTGACTGCCCTCCTTTCTACATGGCGGGGGCCAGACTGTCCACAAAGGAAGGATAACCCCTCAGGCTTAAGCCAAGGGTAGGAGATGGGTAGAATGAATGGATGGGGCTTAAGGATCAAAGATCACCAGCTTATGAATGGATGGGGCTCAAGGATCAAAGATCACCAGCTCTGCTATTGTCAGAAGAGGGTTATTAAACCCTCCCTTTGCTCAGAGGCGATAGCCCAAAAGAAGGGGAGGAGGAAATGGAGAAGAAACGGAGACCGTGATGCTTGATGAAGAGCAAGCATTTCGAAAGCTTAAATGGAGACTGTGAGATTTTCAAATCCATTGCAGGATGTTCAAGCGAATATGTAAAAAAGATGTTGAGACTCTAGAACAGTGGTCCTCAACCTTTTTAATGCCGCGACCCCCCAACTGGTCGTAAGTCGAGGACTGCTCAACCGGTCGTAAGTCAAGGACTACTCAACTGGTGCACCACCGTTTGCAGAATGGGACTTTTGGCAGGCTCAGCAGGGCAGAGACAGCCTGGACAATTCCTATTGGCCTTTGAAAGCCAATAGAATTAGACTCTATTCAAGAGAGTCAATTCTATTGGCTTTCAAAAGCCAATAGAATAAAAGGGAGTAGCACAGCTAAGGAAAAGGGGGGAAAAAATGGCGGACTCCGTTGTTTGGCGACCCCCGTGAAATGGTCGTTCGACCCCAAATGGGGTCCCGACCCACAGGTTGAGAACCACTGCTCTAGAAAGAGTACAGAGAAGAGCAACAAAGAGGATCAGGGGACTGGAGGCTAAAACATACAAGGGACGATTGCTGGAATTCGGTATGTCTGATTTAATGAAGAGAAGGACGAGGAGGGACATGATAGCAGTCTTCCAGTATCTCAGGGGCTGCCCCAAAGAGGGGAGGGTCAACCTATTCTCCAAAGCACCTGAAGGCAGGACAAGAAGCAATGAAGAGAAACTAACCAAGCAGAGAAGCAACCTGGAACCAAGGAGAAATTTCCTGATAGTTAGAACAATTAATCAGTGGAACAACCTGCCTCCAGAAGCGGTGAATGCTCCAACACTGGAAGTTTTTAAGAAGAGACTGGACAGCCATTTGTCCGAAATGGTATAGGGTTTCCTGCCTGAGCAGGGGGTTGGACTAGGTGACCTCCAAGGTCCCTTCCAACTTTATTATTATTATATACCATTTCAGACAAATGGCTGTCCAGTCTCTTCTTAAAAACTTCCAGTGATGGAGCATTCACCGCTTCTGGAGGCAGGTGGTTCCACTGATTGATTGTTCTCACAGTCAGGAAGTTTCTCCTTAGTTTCCAAGAACTTTGGCCCCTTCATAACTCGTGGACTTCAACTCCCAGAATTCCTGAGCCAGCGTGGGGGAACTATGGCCCCTCCATGACTCGTGGACTTCAACTCCCAGAATTCCTGAGAAAGCATAGGGGAACCATGGCCCCTTCATGACTCGTGGACTTCAACTCCCAGAATTCCTGAGCCACCATGGGGGAACTTTGGCCCCTTTATGACTTGGGGACTTCAACTCCCAGGATTCCTGAGCCAGCATGGCTCAGCTTGGAAACCCCTCCCTTTCCCCTCAGCATGGCTGGCTGAGGAATTCTGGGAGTTGAAGTCCACGAGTCATAAAAGAGCCAAGGTTGCCTACCCCTGTTCTATGCCAATAGTGATCGCTAACCAAAAAATTAAGTTTACCTCGTCCACAATCAGGGCCCAAGAATCCGAGGAAACAATGGCAGGTTCCAGAAACGCAGTCACCGTTTCCATAACAGTTGCTGGGACAGTTCTCCACTGATTCTGCAGAAAGAAGAAAACAGAAAAAGTGAAGGTAATGTAGAAAAGAGGAAAGTTAAACATCAAAGCTCATTCAGTGATGGAACAGAGGCACTGGCAATCGTCCTTCTCACGTTGGTCTCCCCTTGACTGGGTTACTGTAACTCACTCTACACGGGCTTGCCCTTGAAGACTACACAGGGACATCAGCTGGTACAAACCTCATACAAAGTCTGAGTACTAAAGGAAGAAGGCCCTAGGTTTGTCAAGTGCTGGGAGATTCACTAATTGCCAGTTTGCTTCTAGACCAGGGGTCTTCAAACTTGGCCCTTTTATGACTTGTGGACTTCAACTCCCAGAATTCCTCAGCCAGCGTGTCTGGCTGAGGAATTCTGGGAGTTGAAGTCCACACATCCTAAAATGGCCGAGGTTGAGAAACATCAGTTTAGCTCTTTCTGAGTTAGCATTATTTCCCCCTCACATTATGTCAGGGGTCTTCAAACTTGGCCCTTTTATAACTTCTGGACTTCAGCTCCCAGAATTCCTTAGCAAGGCACGCTGGCTGAGGAATTCTGGGAGTTGAAGTCCACGAGTCATGAAGGGGCCATAGTTCCCCCATGCTGGCTGAGGAATTCTGGGAGTTGAACTCCACAAGTCATAAAAGGGCCAAGTGTGAAGACCCCTGGTCTAGACTGTGGGAGGAGGAACGGCAGAAACTGGGGCCGGAGTTAAAAGAGGGATCAGCCTAGAATTCCTACACAGTCACAAGCAGAACTAAGTCCAATCCCCCTTGAATTCTGTGGACCATTATCTAAGTCCAAGCAGGTGCTAATTGTGAGTTGAGAAGATTTTTGTGCATAAGCTGTTTAGCAATAAATCAGTTTACTGAACTTCCACCTGTGGACTTCATCTTCCACGCCCAACAGTTATGAAATGGTACTAATGTATAAAATCTTACAGAGTTTTGGACCGGAGTATCTGCAAAATTACTTGCTCCCAAGTAGAATCTGCCCTGGTCAGATTTGGGCTTAGAATGCCTTATTCCCTGCAAAGTGTTCAAGAGGGTATTTGGTTGTTTGAATATTTGAACGATCTTGGTGGTTTCTTGATTAGGTTGTTGTTTACTGTTTGATTGTTTCTCTGAATTAGTGGATCACAGATACATCAAACTCACAACGTCCTGCGATGTCACGCGACGTATCGGCACTGTTTTGCCATTGCTGGAAATGGGGTGGGTACGGCTTCCGCTTGATGCGTCCGGCCCGCGGGCCGATAGTTTGACACCCCTGGTTTATCAGACTGTTTCTCCTATGGAATCACCCACAGAATTAAGACCCGATAAACACATTTAGAACACTTAAAAAGATCTGGCTGTTTAAGCAAGCAGTTGAGGATTTAGAAAGGATTAAGTTCCTGAGGTGTACACGGGCCCCATTTGTTTTAATTTCTTTCATGTTATTATTGATGTGCAATTGATTATGGATTGTATATTGTGCACTTTTATTGATTGGAAGTGTTGTATTGCTTTTGGTGAGCACTCAGATTTGCCTAATTGAAAGTGACATAAAAGCACCATAAATCAGGGGTCTTCAGACTTGGCCCTTTGATGACTTGTGGACTTTAACTCCCAGAATTTCTCAGCCACTGCATCCAGTTTTGGTCACCACAATATAAAAAAGATTTTGAGACTCTGGAAAGAGTGCAGAGAAAAGCAACAAAGATGATTAGGGGACTGGAGGCTAAAACATATAAGGAATGGTTGCTGGAATCGGGTATGTCTAGTTTAATGAAGAGAAGGACGAGGGGGGATATGATAGCAGTCTTCCAATATCTCGGGGGCTGCCCCAAAGAAGAGGGAGTCTAGCTATTCTCCAAAGCAGGGGTCTCCAATCTTGACAACTTTAGGAATTGTGGACCAACTCCCAGAATTCCTCAGCCAGCTATTCTTTGTAAAATTGTCAAGGTTGGAGACCCCTGCTCCAAAAAGCAAGACAAGAAACAATGGAGAGAACCAACATAGAACTAAGGAGAAACTTCCTGACAATGAAAACAACTAATCAGTGGAATGGCTTCCTTCGTGAAGTTGTGGGCACTCCATCACTGGAGGCTGTTAAAAAGAGACTGGACAACCATTTGTCTGAAATGGTGTAAGATCTCCTGCCTGAGCAGGGGTTGGACTAGAAGACCTCCAAGGTCCCTTCCAACTCTTGTTACTGTGTTATTTATTAAAACAAATAAGTACGAATAAACATGACCATCGGGGGGGGGGAGAAATCAGCATGTCATTTTACAAGCCATCGTGAACTTCGAACAGTTGTTAAAGAACTAGTCATAAATCAAGGACTACCTGTAGAATGCATTGTTTTTGCTCCATGTTTTTATTTAACTCCAGATTTCACCCAAGTACCGTATATGCCGGCGTATAAGGCGACTTCCGCAAGCACTAAAATCGGCGCCAAAGATGGGGGTCGTCTTATACGCCGGAAATACTGGTAGTTTCCAGCGTATAAGACGACATTCTAGGAATGCGACTTGGCGCCAAAGACAGGGGTCGCCTTATACGCCGGGTCGCCTAATACGCCGGCATATACGGTATCAATTATTTCTCGTCTCCAAAAAAAAAAAAAAAAATCCTTTTGAAGGAAATTGCAAGTTAACTCCCACAGTGTTTTAATGGCAGCTCTAACTATTCATCCTTGCCTTGGTTTATTAACATTTTTTTTCCTCCTAAAATCAAAAACCATGTTTGACGATTTCTTAAAATATTCATGAAGACAGGAGGGTAGTTTGGTACGCAAGGTTGACAAAAATGACAAAACGCTAAGGTTGCTTTGAATGCCACTGTTTCTGATCCTCCATAAATATAATGCACGTTTGAATTAAAATGGGATGTAATTACAGGCGAGAAGTCTTAGCGTGGTGGGGAGTCGTTTTTCACTGTGACAGGTTAGAAACAGCAGTGGTGGTAGGAGAACAGCTCCTTATATTTAATACATTCTTTGAAGCAACCAAACCATAGCTCAAAAATACCTCTGCCTCTTACCCAGTGCATAAAGGGAAGTCGCTGATATATTTCGTGATGGTGTCATGAATATGGTGGGCCTTTCTAAATCCTGGACTGTGATGATTTAGGAGAAGGACTGGTCAGGCCTAAAAAGCCTATTTCTTTTGTGGAGTCCTTGGTGCTGTCTGAGCTTGGTGGCTTTCTTGCAGACGTTTCGTTACCTAATTAGGTAACATCGTTAGCGCTAGAAGAGAGTGGGGTTTGTGGAAAGGAGGAAGAGGAGGAGGAGGACTGTGGGATCCTTGGTGCTCTCTGAGCTTAGTGGTTTCCTTGCAGATGTTTCATTACCCAACTAGGTAACATAATCAGTGCTAGAAGGAAGTGGGGTTTGTGGAATAGAGGATGGAGGAGGAGGAGAACGACTGTGGGGTCCTTGGTGCTCTCTGAGCTTGGTTGTTTTCTTGCAGACATTTCATGGCCCAACTAGGTAACATCATCAGTGCTAGAAGGAGTGGGGTTTGTGGAAAGGAGGAGGAGGAGGAGGATGACGACGACAACAACTGTGGGGTCCTTGCTGCTCTCTGAGCTTGGTGGTTTTCTTGCAGATGTCTCATGGCCCAACTAGATAAATCATCAGAGGTAGAAGGGAGTGGGGTTTACAATGAGGAGGAGGAGAAGAGGAGGAGGAGATGCATCTGCAAACCTTTGCTGAACAATAGGAAATTAGTCAGCTCATGGATTACCCTCCAGGACTAGACTGAAGTAGCTCAGAATTCCTAAAGCTGACATCTTAGAAGCTTCCTTCATCACCACTGTTGACTGTCTCCTGTCCTGGCCATTGTTTGTGTTGTGATTCCTCGCCAGCCAGTGGACCCAGCAGCCAGTGAGTCTGAGGAATCAGAGGAGGAGGAGGATGGGCCTGGACTGACATCAGAGTCAGAGGAAGGCTCTGAGGAGCTCCAAGACTTACAGTCGGACGAGGAGCCTGGCCCCTCTACTTGCGCTCAGGCTGAGACACAGGAGCCTGAGTTGGACAGTGATGAAGAACAGCTGGGACAAATCCCGGATGCACGAATGCACAGGCAAGAGAAGCGAGTAGGACAGAGGAATGCAATGGGGCGGCTCCAAAGGCAAAGGAGAAGGCATTAGGAAGCCACGCCTTGGCTGCATAATAAAAGGGAAGGTGTGGGAGGTGCTGGTCGCCAAAGGCAACCGTTCGTGTTGAGGATCGAGTTTCTGCGGACTGTGTTTGCTTCCCTTGGACATTGATTCAGGTCTGTGGGAATAAAAGGGTTGTTTTTTTCTTCCGGTTTCTGCCTGTTTCTTCCCTTTGTGAGCATAACAAGGATTCACGTAGGCTGGGACAGAACAGTTTGATGAGACTGCAATGGTCTCCATGCTGAGTATTTTCTTCTGGAACCTACTTACGGAAAAACTATAACACGCTTAACCTGGCCTTTGCTATGCTTAACCCTTCAAGCCAAGAAGCTTTTAAACTAGACATGTCAAGGATTCATCTCATGTCCTAGCTTTCTTCAAGTACCCTCAACCATCTGTTTGCACGTAAATGCAAACTGTCATAAACAGGAAGAGTTCTTCCAAATACTCAGCTGACAGCCAGGTACCCCCAGTATAGCTGGCCTTGCTTCAGAGATGCATGGCTGTCTACTTTTAATACAATCATCTCCTTTTCTACAAAAAAATAACCTTAGAATAGCACAATCATGCTATTTGACACCCCAGGCCTCCCTAATCCTGATGTTACTTCAACAAGCTTTTCCAAGCTCTCTTGGTCTGACCTGCAATTACCTATATGAATTACTTTTTCTTTGGACTAAAAAAAAATATAATTACAATTATACATGTTAAAGAGATGGACCAATTGGCTGGATTCCCAATAGATCTTTCCTCTTTTCCCTCATTTCAGAGTAATTATCTATCCACCAGCTGGCTGGATTGGTTAGGGGAAGAGGGATTGTTGCAGAATTTCTTCATTATTTATCTACTGGGTAGCATTATT